TCAGTGCCTGGGGGAGGAAGGACCAGGAGAGGATGGGATTTGCCTCCTTGCCACAGGGAAGGGCAAGGAGATCCCCCCAGTGCATCCCTGGCAGGACGGCGTTGGCACCGGGGTTGCCCTGCATCTGGGGGCCATGCTGGGCTGGGAGATGGAGCAGGAGAGAGGGGGAAAGGGGCACTGACTTCCTCCTCACCTGCATGGGGCTCCAAAAGCATCTTCCTCTTCCTCGCGGCCTCCTCCTCCTCCATCGGACCAAGGTTTGGGAATGGGAAATCCTGGTTTGGGGAAAAACAAGGGATGAGCGTGTTGCGTTTCATGGTCCCTCTGCCTCTCTTGATTTGAAAACAAAGGTGTCTGTCAACAAAGGTAGGAGCCTTCCTTGAAATGGGAAATGCAAACCCCCTCCAAAGTACTATAATTTTGAAATTAAGGGGCTCTCAAGCAAAGATACGGGAATAGCAATATCAGTCTTTCCTAGGAAAATTGAAATAAAAGGGCAGGACTACAAAAAATCACAGAGAGAGTCAGAACACAACCTGGCACCCTCCTGGTCAGGGTGTTGCCTGCAGTCCCAGTAAATGGTGGTCGCAGTCCTCCTGGAGAGACAGATGTGGTTCTGTTAAGGCAGTGATCCTGTCGAAGGATGTAGTTTTCCTCTGAAGGTCCAGTGGTGGTGTAGATGGGCCTGGTCTTCCTCTGGCAATCCAGTGGGAGAAGGCTGCTGTGGTGCTTCAAATCTCAGCTTATATCCAGGTAGGAATGCTTGGCTCCTCCCTCTGGGCGGAGCATCTCACAATGGGATGATGTAACTTTATCATTCATGCAGCAACACTCAATGGCTCGTTAACTGAAGATATCTCCCTGGACAGAGGATGGGTTGTGGAAGAGATAAAGAACACTGCTCCACCTGGTTTCAATAGATGGTGATGGAATACATACTTCTGCTTACATCTTGCATTGCAACCTAAGACAAGGAGTGACACAGACCAGGGGATGACACCGAGTAAGGGGACACTGGCACAGGGGTGATGCCGGAACAGGGGGTGACACTGGGACAGGGGTGACACTGGGCTGAGGGGCACGCGGACCAGGGGGCGATCCTGAGCAGGGGGCACACCGGATCAAAGAAGGGAGAAGAACAGGACAACGCCCAGATCCCTCCATTTTGTCCCCCTAGACCCCCACAGTAAAATTCTTCAAAATTTCACCTTTCACCCTGTGAAAACTACTGCTATATTACTTAAACTTTTGTGACTTGTAATTTTTCATTGGTAATTGGTAAAGTTGGTAATTGGTAATTTGTAAATTGGTAATTGGTAAAGTTGGTAATTTGCTCCACGGGTTAAAATCGAAATCCCAAGTGTCTCTGGCATCCTACCAGGGTCTCCAAGCCCCTGCCAGGATTTTGAGCCATCCAGTGCATCCAGAAGGATGTCCTGGGTTCCAACACACCCACTCTAAAACAGGCAAAGGGTCAGACCACTGAGTATCCCACTGTCCGATAATCCCATTAGGATGAAAATTGAACTATGCAAATAAATGCAGCAATGCACACCTCTGGGCATATCTGCTGGATTTGTCTGTTTGTGATTGCCTGCTCCACTATTTCAAGAGCAGCTTTTACCTTTGGGGTTAATTTTCTGGGAGAATTGAGATCAGGAACACCTTTTAGGATGTCAAATAAGGGTACCAATTGTGAGGTGGTCAATGGTAGATAGAGTCTGAGCCAGTTTATGGTGCCCAAAGGTTTTGGGAATCATTTAGAGTTTGAATTTTTGTTGAGAGTCGAATTGTTTGTGGCTGTATGGTCCGATCCACAATTTGGAGTCCAAGGTACCTCCAGGGTGGTTGCTGCTGCACTTTTTCTGGTACTATTTGCAGCCCAAATGTTTTGAATGTTCACATCAGGCTTGGCCAAATCTGTGAAAGGTTTTTCCAGTTGGGGTTGCAATTAAGATATCGTCCATGTAGTGGTAACAGTACACCCCTGGAAATTGTTCTCTTACTGATAATGAGGCCTGAGCAACGTACCCTTGACAAATTCTGGGGCTGCTTTTCATCCCTTGTGGTTAAACTTTCCATTGATTACGCTTGACTGGTGCAGCGTTCTTAATGGACGGCACCACGAAAGCAAATTTTGGGGTTTCATCTGGCTGTAAAGGAATAGTAAAAAACCAATCTTTTAGGTCCACAATCAGAATATTCCAGGTGGCAGGAATCATTGTAGGAGATGGCAAAGCAGATTGCAAAGCACCCATGCTTTCCATGAGTGCATTGATTTTTCTCAAGTCATGCAGCAACCCCAATTACGGGACTTCATTTTTGTAATAAACACCGGGGTGTTCCAAGGGCTTGTGGATGGTTCTATTTGCCCTTGAGCTACTTGTTCTTTTACTAGGGATTTAAGGACATGCAGTTTCTCTTTCTCTAGGGACCACTACACAGGCCAAATAGCAAGCCATTTTAGGGCTACCCAGGGATATTTTATGCCCTCCAATACAGGCCCTCATTAAAAATCCATCCCTTCCTGGACTCCCCATGCAGACAGAACATCCCTTCCCCACACACTGCACGTTGCTGAGACATGGGCTTAGGGATTAACTTGGGGTAGAAACCAGTTTTGGATTTAGCTGAAGTCTGCTGTTTCAACTTGTTCAGTCTGTTAACTTGCTGTGCTCACAAAATTCCTGCAGAGAGAACAAAAGAGATTCAAGGCTTCTTCGAAAGGAATACGAGTG